CTCTCTCTCTCTCTCTCTGCAGTGCCGTCCTTCAAAAGGGAGGAAGAGGGGTTACTGCTGGTGTGTGGATAAGTACGGTCAGCCTCTCCCTGGCTATGATGGAAAGGAGAGAGGAGAAGCCCAGTGTTACAACCTAGAGAACAAATGAGAGGCAGAGAGAGGATGGAGTGATGGCGAGAAAGAATGAGGGAAGAAGGAGAGAGGAATGGGAGAGAGAGATACTTTTTTTTTACTCCTGCCATGCACGTAACTGTCGAAAGAGTGCCGGACCTTTGACCTCAGGTCACAAGACTGCCGGGTGGGGGAGGGAGGGGGAGGGAGAGGGAGGGAGGAGGAGGGAGTAGTAGAGAGGGGGGAGGGAGGGGCAGACTGGGGCAGCACAGCCTAATAGGCCATGCCTTCTGTCCATCATCTGCAGCTATCTGCTCTGTGCTATGGGAACCTCTAGCTACCCCTCGTATGAAAACGAGAGAGAAACTAATCATCTGCACTATTATTTTAGAGAGAGAGGAAGGAGGGACTTTCCCACTCACTTTAAAGAGGACTTGTCTGTGACTGTGACCCAACGCAACATGTTTATGTATGTTTGTGTGTGTATGCATGCGTGTGTGTGTGCGTGCAAGCGTGTATGAGTGTTTGTGTGTGTGTATGTGTGTGTAAATGCCGTCTTTCAATAAGCTCAGTTTAGAGGTGTAAGAAAACCTCTTGACACCTAAACCCAAACCCTGCCCTCTTCCATCCTGTCGTGCAGAGACTCCTCCCCTTTCTCAGGGTCCATCAGTGAAGTCTTATGGGTAGGCCGGCCTCTGACCTCTTCCCTGCCATGTTGGACACCACTGGCCTTCCCCACTGTCTCCATAGCAACCAGCTTGTCCCGCCCAATGTGCTGCGTCACATTTACAGGTTTAGGGGGAAGGAATGGAATGGAGACGGTGCCCAATAATGGTGCCTTAAATCCACACTGACCCTCTCCCCCTCTTCCCCCATCCCTTACCCCTACCCCTCCCTTTTTCATATTCCTTCCTTAGTCCTCTGCAATCCTTATAGGACTCCAGGAAGAGTAGCTGCTGCTTCTGCAATAGCTAATGGGGATTCAAATACAAAAATAAACAGGTGCTCACATAACGTTACCACCCTGCAGCCTTGGTCTGGTTAGCTAGCTGGCAGGTTGGGTTAGCATAGTTAGCCAAACCACCACTTCTCCAGTCAGGAAATAGGGCCAATGGTGTTGTCACGACAACATGGTCCCTCTATCTGCAGTACTCTTCCTGTCTATGGTGCATATGGCCTGGTGTAGGGTCCTTTAGACTGGGCATGCTCGGTGAGACCGGGCTGCTCTCTTTGCTATAGGTGCCAGCTTCGAGGCCAAGCACAACCACTTAAAGCACTTTAGCTGCACCCAACCAACTTCCCTACAGCGTTCCTCGCAGTTAAAGACAATTGGTACCCATTGTAGCGTAGTAGTCATACCGTTTCATTGGTGGCAACATTTGAAAAGGTTTATAGCACTGTAGAACAACACAACAACAACAACAAAAGAAAAAACAATGTTACACAAGCACTTCTGACTGTGACTTTACTCAGCCTAGAGAACAAAGCCCCTCCTCAGAATTTCCATTCTATGCAAAGTGTGTTTTCTTTTTGTTGATATTGTTCTTGGAGATGCTTGTATGATCTTATGCCAATATAACTCCACGAGGTGGACGCAGCACCAAATATGCATTCAAGAAGCAGACAGGGGGTCTGAGGGAGGGGTCGTGGTCCTCTTAGAAGTGCTCCCTGCTTCCTGTAAGACGCTTTCACATATCCTGTGTCTGAAATGGCACTATATTCCCTATATAGTGCCCTATGGGCCCTGGTCAAAAGTGATGCACTATATAGGGAATAGGATGCCATTTCAGATGCAGACTTGAACAGTGGAGTGTGCACGACAAGGAATACTACCCCAGTAGCTCGGTAGCATGGAATCAGATGCACACACACTTTAAAAACAAACAACAACAACATCTTAAAACCAACCAACCCGCTGGTGCTATATCCCATTCTATTTGAAGACTTGATTTCGGGGGAGGAGCATTAAATTATGTTTAAGCTATTACCCCGCCCCCTTCCCAGTTCTTTGTTAGTCTTTTTCTATATTCAAAAATTTTTCGTGGCTATGTGTCTGACATATGTATGGTACTTAAAAGTAAATAAATAAAGAAGTTATTTATCCAAGAAATAATTATAAGCTGATCCAAACTATGTTTTTTCTTACGAACAATTCAGTGACTCACTGATTGTACAACAAACTCGAAGTTGATTCAGCGTATTTTGGGGAATATAATCACTAATGATTGTTGCATTTTTTTTATTAACACTTTCTTCTGTTTCTCAGCAGTATAATTATTTTTGTAAACTTTATACATCTCTGGTCTGTTGCCCACGGTAACTGTCAGTCAGGCACTCAGGCACTCAGGTCACTGGTCTGTGGTTTAATTGGTTTGTAACACAGTTGGGGTCAGTTTTATTTATATTCAGTCAATACAATAATCTGAAATTCTTAATGAGGAAATGTTGTATTTGAATTTCAACTGACTTTTCTGAATTGACTGAATGGAGTTGAGCCCAATCCTGTTGTGTAATCCTATGGGTCTGTAGTCCAGTGAAACTCTCAGTCAGTCCGTCGGTCACTACTCCAGTACTTCTCACCGTGCACACCAACGTGCACACCAAAGTGCACAGCAATGTGCACGCGATGCCATCCCGTCTCAGTCTCGGTCCACTGTGCAAATCCAGGGGCACCTCTGTCTCTGTAACATTATGTCACTTTTCTGGTGGTCACGTAAGAATCTCTCTATTGTTCACGGGTAATTGTACTTTATTTTTCCTTTTTGTTTCAAGTTCTATTGTTTAAAGAGTTTTGATTCTTTAAAGAAAAAAAGCTTTTCATGTTACTAAACTAGAAAATCACACAGCTATTATTTTCTTTGAGAAAGGAAAATTATTTTGTTAAAATATCATTTGTATTTAATGTCTTTTTAAAATAAAGAATAAACACTATTTTCATTTACTGTTGAACGACTTGAGGGCGTTTTTACGAGTTAGGCTGTGTTACCTCAGAGAGCTGAGAAGTACATTCAGTACTCAATACTGTCTTACTTCAGAGTTATAGTAAGTAGGCCTGCATTCAATAAACTGTTTACATCAAATGTTCTAGCAGACAGGGAGGCAGTTGGCAACCAAAAAGATGACAAGGGGAATCTATTTTGATAGTTGATGAAAAGGTTCAGAGGTATTGTGTTTCTCATCACAAATCCCTTTCTCTCCCAGTTCCCTCTCTCCCTCCCTCTCTCTCTATTTCCCTCTCTTTCTCTCTCTCTCTCTCTCTCTCTCGCTCTCTCTCTCTCTCTCTCCTCCTCTCTCTCTCTCATCTCTCTCTCCTCTCTCTCTCTCTCTCTCTCTCTCTCTCTCTCTCTCTCTCTCTCTCTCTCTCTCTCTCTCTCTTCTTCAGCCTTGGAATGTGGCAAAAACAATAAAGGTACAGGTCAATTTGTAAAAAACTAAAATAAATGTTGTGGTGCCAGGCAGGCTGGCAGTGGGCACGTATGGGGTGGTTGAGGGAAATACACACACACACACACACACACACACACACACACACACACCACAGTCACACACACACAGAGAGAGAGAGAGAGAGAAAGAGAAAGAGAGAAAGAAAGAGAGCGAGAGGAGGAGAGAGCGAGAGAACACAAAACACTGTAAACACACAACCTAGAGCCTCAGGCACTGCTACAGAGCAACAAGACAGAACAACATTAAGTTTTGCAAGGTGTATGTGTGTTTATATGGGTGGGTGGGTTGGTTGTTTGGAGTTTCACAATATATTGAGGAAACAGTTTTATTAGCAACGCATTCCTCTGTGTTACAGATAATGGCTGTGTCTGAAATGGCACCCTACCCCATAGGGCTTTGGTCAAAAGCACTGCTCTATATAGGGAATAGGGTGCAATTTCAGACACAGCCGAAGTTTGTAGCTTTATGCTAGGGCTGTTTATGCACACACTCCTATATGGCTGAGGCATTCACCACATGACCACACAGTCACACACACCACCACAGGGCATCAAGATTGATCTGATCATCAATAATTATTTGATAATTAAAAATAGTAGGCTGCTCCAGACGGATTACATACATAAAAACGTATTGATGAAAAAAAACGCAATAAAGCCCAAAGGCTTATTTCCAATGTGGTCTTCTTTGGCAACAAGATGGGTGGACAAGATAACATATTTGAAGTTAAACGTTTTTATTAAATATATCACCTTTTTTCTTTACAATACAACTCAATTACAAAAGTGTCCACACACGAGTGAGCAGTCAGTCACTTTGGAATAGAATTGACCTCTCTCTCTCTCTCTCTTTCTCTCTTTCCTTCTTTCTCTCTCTCTCTTTCCTTCTCTCTCGCTCTCTCTCTCACTTTCTCGCTCTCTCTCTTTCTCTTTCTCTTTCTCTCTCTCTCTTTCTCTCCAACAGCAGCATGTAGACAGAGCACACACATCACAAATCAAACACGGTCAAACCTGTCAGCAGAGACAAACAAACACCAGGAGGTAGGTCAAGGTAGATACCCGTCAGAACAGGGGCAATACAGGAGCATTTCCCATCATGCAATTCTGCAAACCCCACAGGACCATGGGATATTGAGTTTCTTAGAAGGTAAGTATGCCCAAATGAGTTGTTTTCTGCATTCACTGATGTAGTTGAGTGTCATCATGTTGAATCACATCAGAAAAAAACCCACAACAAATAAACCATGACAATGAACATGAAAAACAATGAATAGTAACATAATAACATTTTGAAATCCTTCTAAAATACATTTTGGTCACACAGTGCTTTTGTTCTTGTTTGGTTCGTTTTAAAAAGTAAACCAGCAGACAAACTCCTAAAGACCAGAGTGAGATCAACTCGGCAATATGGAGTAACTCAGGGCATAGATACATATATAAACGTTATACACTGATAATAATACACAAATAATAATAATAATAATAATAATAATAATAACAATAATAATAATAATAACAATAAGGAAAAATTATATACATATTCTTAACATAAAAATAACAAAATTAAGAGATATATAATGTGAAATAAATAAGGCTGTAGAGTTAAAGTAAATGCATGAAAATATTAACAGTGACAGTGTGTACCTGAATATCAAACACCACCATGGACAATTAATAAATAACAGGAATTTTAAAAAACAGTGGTTTAGTGTGTGTGTGTGTGTGTGCACGCGCATGCGTGCGTGTTCTGCATCAGTGGTTGATCTCATAAGAGCACTCAGCATCTCCCTGCAGATCTGTGGATCCCAGAATCTTCTTTCCATTCCAGGAGGACACACACCAACACCTGCCTTTCTGTCCATCAAGAGATGACTCACACTGTGAGACAGGAGAGAGAGAGATTTGAATGCCTGTTTGTTTTTTTACACACCGTAACACACCTCCACCTAACACACCTGTTCAGATATGCTATGACCCTCATCTGTGTGCAGCCGCACCTCATGGGGCAAACACACACCCATTCCAAGACAAATGTGTGTACAGGCACACACGGAGAGGCACACGCGTGTATAGTCATGCCACGCCAAGGGGATGACACTAGAGTGAAACTAGCTGAATGTGCTCCAAGGTGTAAGCAGTGCTGTACAAATCTCTGCCTGAACACACATTATTATTTCTGGAGCTGTGGTTGGCACAATCTTGGTTGCACACACACACACACACACACACACACACACACACAACCAGGTGAGATTCCTTCACACTGACAGGAGTCATGAATTGGGCACCAATCCCAAGTGCACATGCACACACACACACACACACACACACACACCACACACACACACACACACACACACAGAGACATACATACATACAGACAGACAGACAGACATACAGACAGACAGACGCGCACACACACACACACACAGTGTGTCTACCTGTTTGGCTTTGTAGAGTCCGTGTTTGTCACAGTTTGGCAGATAGAACCTGGTCAGTTTGTCTCCTAGCTTCTGTTGTGACTTAGCGATCTTCTCCAGAGCTCTCTGTAACTCCACATGACAGGGACCCTAGGAGGAGAGGGAAAGAGAGGAGAGAGAGAGAGCAGAGAGAGGGAGAGAGAGGAGAGGAGAGAGAGATGAGAGAGCGATGATGAGAGAGGAGAGAGGAGACGAGAGAGAGATGGAGAGAGAGAGACATTGAGAGGATGAGAGAGAGATGCGAAGAGGAGCGGCCAGAGAGAGAGGACGAGAGAGCAGATGAGTGAGGAGAGGAGAGAGCGAGATGAGAGGGAGAGAGAGAGAGAGAGAGAGAGAGAGGAGAGAGAGAGAGAGAGAGAAAAACGTTTTAAGTGTATTTCTATGTACTGTGTAGGCCTATTTTAAGTGTTTTATTCATGTTCATTTGCTTCTAAATCCGTCTCTGAAGGGGCTACCTGGGAGACCTGACCCTACCTGTATTGAATTGTCTATGGGCATGCTGTCAAAGTAGTGCTGCTAGATAGAGTACTGCCTTCTCGCTACTCATCAAAGGCTGCTGTTCTATCCAATCAACCCTCACAGTCAAGGCCTGTTGTGGCAAAACACTGGTATTTTGTAAAATTGTTCCAGGATAGGTCATAAGGTAGGCTAATGCACACACACACCCACCCACATGCACACACACGCACGCACGCACAAACACACACACACACACACACACACACTTCAAAAGGACTCGAGCGCCCCCTTGCGGTATGATGTTAACTAACCACAACCCCAACCGTTCTTTGACTCTCCAAAAGTTTTAGGAACGTTAAATTATAGTTGCAAAACGGTTAGTACATTTTCCGTGAGCGCTCACCTGCTCCACCAGTTTCTTTCGAATTGCGTTGACTTTGGCTTTCATGCTCTCCTGTGCGTCCGCGGCGGCCCGGGGATCGAAGGGTTTGCTGTGGCCGGGGAGGTAGAGGCTGGAGCCGGGGTCCGACACCATGGCAGCGTTTTCTGTCTCGGCATTGTCCACCTCTCCTTGGTCTGGAGAAAAGAGGGAATGAGAGTGCCAAGAAGGGGAAAAGACAGTAGAAATCACAATCTTGATTGCAGTTATGCAGAAATACATTTGCAAATGATGAATAATGTGCAGACTAATTACTATTAGGCTATAATTATAAATATTATTAGGCTAATAGGCTTTTTAAAATAAAGGTTATTATTTGCTTATGTCAACCATAGACTATTGATATTACATATATATTGCATATATGCTATTTATAATCTAGCTATAGCCAAAACCTTCTGCAATTAGGGGATACATACCGGGGTTTTGGGGCACAGGGCTCCTTTCGGGCTCGGGGATCTCTGTGCATACCGCCTGGCCGCGAGTGAGGGAGTGAAGCGGCCGGAGGTCGCCGGGTCTCGGGGTGCACCTCAGTCTGGACCCGCATGGCGCCGTGTAGATTCCGCACAGATCCCCCGTCTTCAGGGCGCAAGCGAGGCAACATCCGCAACCCGGCTCCTGCAGAACCTCCGCACAGCCGGGCGCCACCGCCGGACACTCGCTCATTTTCTCCGGCGAGCACGGGGCGCATCGGATCGGCTCTTGCGCTAACACCGGGGACCCCAGCACCGACGGGACCAGCACAGAGCAGCATACCGCTGCTGCCACTAATACATTTCTTTGAAATAATCCACCCATGGTAGAAGGAGAGTCTGGTAGACTAAATATAGAATAAGGAAGAATAGTAGCTTATCAAAAGTAAGGAGGGTTAGAATAAAACACAGTTCGTTCCTGTTCCTTAGTTTCTTTCCTTTGATTTTGGAAAAATGACTAACTACTCCTTGCGCGCAGCGGTATTTATACCCGGGTCATTGTAAAACGTTTGACGCATCGGCATTATGAATGATTTCTAAAAAGAAGGTGTAATGATCCGACGGCTTCTGATTGGCCCGCATATGTCCAGTCAGAGACCTCATTTGAATACAACACGCAAAACACAATACCGGTATTTATTTTGGAACAGACCGTGCTCGCACGTCACCGTTTGGTGTTGCAAGTGAGGAAAAGGAATCCTGTATTCTCGCACTATTGCCAGAATAACTGAGTTTCAACATTCTGTCATCCCTGTCAGTCTATATAGGCTATCATACATTGATCACTGTCTATTTGTAGTTTCAGCATTATAGTTGGATTTAAACTGCATAGATTTTGTGGAAGAGAAAATAAATGAAATATCGTTGTATTTAGTAGGCTAATGCTGAACGGAAGCAGTTTAGTTCAGCAAACAAGTGAGGACCTATTTCACCGCTACAGTGTGGTACAATGCCTGCTATTCATTAGTATTTTTTTTTAAATGTCCTTTCAAACTTCTTACACAACTTCCAGCAAAAACGAATGATGACTGCTGATTACACCGGTTAGCAGGTTAGCCTGCCCGGGCTGCACCTAGTAGGCTACTTACTGTAAATGTCCAGCACTAATTGAACATGAGGTGTACAACACTTTCTGAGTCACCCCACTGGCACAGACTTAAATTCAACCTCTATTCCACATTGTTCAACGGCATTTCGTCGACTCAACCAGTGGGATGCACGGCACCGGGTCGCCGATCATGTAATGCGACCTCCACTCCCGGGTACTGACGGAAGCCCCATTTTGGTCTCCACGGCGCCGGAGTGGACCGGAGCAGTCCCATTGTGGTTACCCGTTTCCTTTCCGGTGTTAATAATAGACAGTGCTGAACGAGGCCGCACTGACATGGCCAGAGACACGTCCCGGGTCCCGCGCGCCAGTGCGCCCAGCCTTTTGTCGTTTATCCACGTGTGTGTGTGTGTATGTGTGTGTTTGTGTGTGTGAGAGAGAGAGACAGAGAGAGAGAGAGAGAGAGAGAGAGAGAGAGAGAGAGAGAGAGAGAGAGAGAGAGAGAGAGAGAGAGAGAGCGAGAGAGAGAGAGGAGAGTCTGCTCTTGGCATGTCACAGGGGTACTGGGCCAGTGCAGTGAGAGCGAGGTCACAGATAGATTCCCATGTCACACTCACACCCTATGTCACAGGGCACCAGACCTGGCATGGGTGGATTAGGAGGCTTGAAGTGGAGAGGCCAATATTACCACTAGGGAATGGTCACGCTAGGGAATGTTCTCAGGGGTGACCGCCAGGGGCCAGAGATGGTGAGCAATGCACAGAGGGGTGAACTGAGGATACCAACCATGACTGTAATGGTGGACAACGGGTGGTCCCAAATTGCACCCTATTCCCTTTATAGCACACTACTTTTAAACAAGGTCTGTGTCCCAAATGGGTCCCTATTACCCTTACAGTGCACTAGATCTACTTTTGACCAGAGCTCTCCTTGTGTCACCACTAAGCAATATGTCATCATGCTACATGCAATGACTTGTAAGATTGCATCATCTGACTACCAAGTGGTTTTAAGATTAGACCCACTTCTCATGTGATTCACTGTTTGTATTCCTTCTATAGCCCCAAGCTGAATAAATACTGTATATAATGAGACTTTACTTCTGAAACCAATCCAAGTCTGAGGTGATCTAGTCAACAAACTTCTGGAATGATGCAATAGTAGTAATAGCCCACTTGGCACAGACGTCAATTCAACGGTTATTCCACATTGGTTCAACGTAATTTCATTGAAATGACGTGGAAACAACATTGATTCAAGCAGTGTATGCCCAGTGGGAGGCAACTCAAGTCTTATTGAAGGAAGGCATGCTCTACGGCAGGGGTTCCCAAACTTTCTCACTCAGGGCCTCCCTTCCAGCATTAGGGAACATCCCGTGCCCCCCCTGCACGCGCACACACACGCCACGTCTATTTCTATGGGCACAAGAACTGTTCATGACACAAACTGTTCACACCCCTCTTGTTGGTGGAGAGAATTTTACAGGTTTAAAGCTTATTTCCTGCAATTCTACACATTTTGTCATGGGTGCAAAGAACATTTAGCAGTTTTAAAGCACATTTTCTTGCAATTCTATACATTTTGCCATCTCTAATGTGTATTCATGTGATATTTGAGTGACTCAAACATTACAACAAAATCTATGGGCTAAAAAAACAAAATAAAAAAACATTAGCTGACATGGGCTAGTTGATCTGGCCATTTCTGACAAGTTATAAATAGCTCTCTAAGGTATACAATGACTGACATGACAAGAGGAACTGATGATGCACTACCCAATTTTGAAATTGCACCTTGTGCATTTTACTATTACAACTTTCAAGAGTAAGTTTAAAGCTTGACTGAGTTCCGCCCCCTGTGCCGACCCACAGTTTGGGAACCACTGCTCCAATGCTACGTCACATCTACAAGCCCATTGATGCAAATGGCGAGGGTGAAAAATACATAGACTTTGCTTTCCTTTTTATGTTTGTAAAAAAAAATGTGATCATGAAAATGTATTTAGGGTCTGATTGAATTCCAGCCATTTATTTTATTTTATGGGTTTATATGTCAAACTATGCAGTGAGTTGACTAGTTCATGTTGCAATTCAAAATCGAAGAGCCTCTTTGTGTCTAAACATTGACAAAGGGGCAATCTGGGATTGGTACATACATTATTTTACTTAAAATGGTATGATATACAGTGGGGAGAACAAGTATTTGATACACTGCCGATTTTGCAGGTTTTCCTACTTACAAAGCATGTAGAGGTCTGTAATTTTTATCATAGGTACACTTCACCTGTGAGAGACGGAATCTAAAACAAAAATCCAGAAAATCACATTGTATGATTTTTAAGTAATTAATTTGCATTTTATTGCATGACATAAGTATTTGATCACCTACCAACCAGTAAGAATTCCGGCTCTCACAGACCTGTTAGTTTTTCTTTAAGAAGCCCTCCTGTTCTCCACTCATTACCTGTATTAACTGCACCTGTTTGAACTCGTTACCTGTATAAAAGACACCTGTCCACACACTCAATCAAACAGACTCCAACCTCTCCACAATGGCCAAGACCAGAGAGCTGTGTAAGGACACCAGGGATAAAATTGTAGACCTGCACAAGGCTGGGATGGGCTACAGGACAATAGGCAAGCAGCTTGGTGAGAAGGCAACAACTGTTGGCGCAATTATTAGAAAATGGAAGAAGTTCAAGATGACGGTCAATCACCCTCGGTCTGGGGCTCTATGCAAGATCTCACCTCGTGGGGCATCAATGATCATGAGGAAGGTGAGGGATCAGCCCAGAACTACACGGCAGGACCTGGTCAATGACCTGAAGAGAGCTGGGACCACAGTCTCAAAGAAAACCATTAGTAACACACTACGCCGTCATGGATTAAAATCCTGCAGCGCACGCAAGGTCCCCCTGCTCAAGCCAGCGCATGTCCAGGCCCGTCTGAAGTTTGCCAATTACCATCTGGATGATCCAGAGGAGGAATGGGAGAAGGTCATGTGGTCTGATGAGACAAATATATAGCTTTTTGGTCTAAACTCCACTCGCTGTGTTTGGAGGAAGAAGAAGGATGAGTACAACGCCAAGAACACCATCCCAATGTGAAGCATGGAGGTGGAAACATCATTCTTTGGGGATGCTTTTCTGCAAAGGGGACAGGACGACTGCACCATATTGAGGGGAGGATGGATGGTGCCATGTCTCGCGAGATCTTGGCCAACAACCTCCTTCCCTCAGTAAGAGCATTGAAGATGGGTCGTGGCTGGGTCTTCCAGCATGACAACGACCCGAAACACACAGCCAGGGCAACTAAGGAGTGGCTCCGTAAGAAGCATCTCAAGGTCCTGGAGTGGCCTAGTCAGTCTCCAGACCTGAACCCAATAGAAAAGCTTTGGAGGGAGCTGAAAGTCCGTATTGCCCAGCGACAGCCCCGAAACCTGAAGGATCTGGAGAAGGTCTGTATGGAGGAGTGGGCCAAAATCCCTGCTGCAGTGTGTGCAAACCTGGTCAAGACCTACAGGAAACGTATGATCTCTGTAATTGCAAACAAAGGTTTCTGTACCAAATATTAAGTTCTGCTTTTCTGATGTATCAAATACTTATGGCATGCATTAAAATGCAAATCAATTACTTAAAAATCATACAATGTGATTTTCTGGATTTTTGTTTTAAATTCCGTCTCTCACAGTTGAAGTGCACCTATGATAAAAATTACAGACCTCTAAATGCTTTGTAAGTAGGAAAACCTGCAAAATCGGCAGTGTATCAAATATTTGTTCTCCCCACTGTATATCCATTGATATGGGTGGAAAGAGTACTGAAATATTCTACTCATGTAGAAGTACTGTGACCGTAATGAAATTTTACTCAAGAAGAAGTAAAATTACTGGTGTAAAAAAACTACTAAAGTAAAAGTAAAAAGTAGCTCCTTTAAAAAATATTTAGTTATTTTTAAAAATAAAAATATTGACCTCACTCCCTCTTTCTCTCCCTCACTCACTTACTCACTCACTCGGTCACTCAGTCACTCGCTCACTCAATCACTCACTCTCTCACTCACTCACTCACACACTCAGTCAGTCACTCACTCACACACTCCCCTTTCCCGCTTTTACTCACTCACTCCCTCACTCACAAACTCCCTCTTTCATTCACTCACCAGGGGTGGAAAGAGTACTGAAATATCCTACTCAAGTAGAAGTACTATTACTTTAATTACATTTTACTCAAGTAGATGTAAAATTACTAACTCAATTACTACTATTAAAAGCTCCTTAATCATAGTAAAGAAAGTAGCTGTAAATAGTGACTTTACACCTCTGGTCATTGACTTGTGAGGAATATAATTAATACATGTCTAATTAGCTTAGTACCAAAAAAAGAGTGGCGGTGTGACCGCTTTGTTGTTGTTTGAATCCCAGATTGCCCCCTTATGGTATGGGCTGACTGGCAGTCATTAGGTGAACTGCCCTGTAATGTA